AACCTGCTGTGATCATTTTAAGTTGAGGAGGGGGATGAGGAAGAAAAATTCCCCCTGTACAACTAATATATGCTAATAAACGAATGTTTTTAAATGTGGGGGGAGGTGTGTCTGCGAGCTTGTAGAGCAGCCTGCCTACAAGCTATGATCAAAACCTACTAACCACCAAAAAACAAAAGTATGTATACTGGTCCAAGAATGATGATTTATTCAAATGGAAATGCAAGGATTGCTCCAACGTAACTAATCGCTCAATCAACGCAGAAGACACATTAAATAGATTTTGGGGGGGGTCATCTCAATTGGATATAGAATTGTACTGACACTTCTAAATGAATATTTAATTAAATTCAGAAATAGAAGGAAACTATGACACATAATAAAGCGTCATATATAAAAACTGCAGCTTAGGCATTGTGGTACACAACTGTAACCTAGCACTCAGGAGGCTGGAGGCAGGAGGATGGCACGTTGAGCGAAACTCTTGGCTATCTATCAGTGCCCTAATATCCCACAAAAAAAAAATCCAAATAAAAATTGCTAGGATTGTATGGGGTGAATCCACCTCCAAATCCACTATGACAATTTCTTTTTTTACATAAAAATAAAATAAAACCATTGAGTTACAAAGTCTCAAGGAATGTCGAAATCACTCCTAAAAAAGAACAGTGGAGGAGTTACAAGTTTCCCAATTTTTCAGAATGTTAAACACACCACTACAAAAATCAAAACTGTTAACGAGCTCATAAGGGCAAAACACACAGAAGACAGAATAGGCCGGTTCACGAAAATTTAACTTAGTATGCTGATTCATTTGATCACAGATACCAATACATTCAATGGGTAAATCACCATCTTTTAAAACAATGGTACTCGGAAACATGTGTATATAAACATGCAGGTTATACACTATTACATAACACCAAATAGCCCAAAATTAAACTCAAATAACCTCAACCTAAATGTCAATACTAGGCAACTATAAATACAAGAAAACACAGGCAAAACCTTTATGACATAGAATGGGAGTGATTTCTTGCAATACACACATAAACATACATAAGAAAAAAGACAGTTATTTCCTAAAGAAGTATACCTAATTAAAAATTAGCCAGAGGACATTGATAGCTATTTCCCCACATAAGGTACTACTATCAATAAGCTGACATGAAAATATACTCACATCCAAAACTGGTATGATTACGCATGTGGTTCCAAAATTCCAGTTCAACATCTACCACTCCAATTCATTCATAGTATGCCTTGAAGAGATTTCACACCAATTCACAAAAGCCAGCATTAACTGCAATGGCCAAAACATGGATAGCAAATGTGAATACGCACTAATGATGCTATCTATCAGGAAAGCAAAGCAATGCGCATACACGCCAGCGAGAGATTAACTTCAGCTTTAAAAAGGAAAGTACATTTCGATAAATATCAGTAACATGGGAAGAAACCTGTTAACTGGTAAACATAAGGCAGTCAAAAAATTTAAAAAATTCAACTGAAGAAAGGTAACTTTATAATGTTGTTTGTCAGGGACTGGGGAAAGGGAAAATGAAAAGGGAGGTGGTCATTGTTTAATGTGTATAGAGTTTCAGTTTTTTAAGACAAAAGACTTCTAATGACTGAAGGTAAAGATGACTACACAATGGCATCAATATAGTTTTCAAGTATTTTTATACTTTAAAAAAGTAAGCTATTAATGGTTGTATGTACTTTTCTACAACAAAAACGATGCAATGAGAAACAATGAGTACACATGCACTTACCGTTCCTTTTGAAGGGTTAGAAGCAGTAAGAATAAAAATGAACATTTCTAGAACCTATAACTTGCTTTCTAAATATCATTCCCTATAATGAACCAGGTACCCAAGGAGAAATGGCTGCTTTCACCTGAGTACTATTGCATGTAAAATGAGCACAAATAGGGAATGTTGACAAAAGAAGCAGCCAAATGTGGGACAAAATGAGAAAATACAAAAAAGTACGATTAATATCACTCATAAAATAAAGGAAATTTCCATGATCAATATTGATAATAACTGACATATTAAACAGATGATAAAGGACTACACTATATTTAAAAACATAGTATAAAATTTTAAAAACATTAAAGACCTAGAGCAAGGCACAGTGGTACATGCCTATGTCTATGATCCCAGGGAAAGACTCAAAACAGGATGACATTGAGTTTGAGGCCACAACAAAAACAAAAGAAAAAAGAGAACACAACAAAAACAATCAATCAATTACTAGTAATTGTTGCAGTCAAGAAACATTAATCATTAATATGTAAAAATTAAATGAAAATATACGAGTGTTTGCATTATCACTTCTATAAGCTACATATTAATATCACAAGGCTGTGAAAGTTAACATCATCATATTTGCACCTGGGTGACCACAAAATAAGTTCTCTAGTGTTCCTACCCCAAAACTGGTAACTTACATCTGAATCACAAAGACCACACAAACCCAGAGTGTCATTAATAATAAGATACTCTAAAGAGTGTCCTAAGTGGAAAGGTCATGAAAGTAGACTGGGGAAATACCCCAAAGTGGAAGCATATGACAACTACGCAATTTGTCAACCAACATTAATTAAATCATGGACCAGCCACAGAAAATTTAAATAAGGTATATGGATAAGCCAATACCAATACATTAATTTCTCGTTTTAGATAATTACATGTCAGCTAGACAAATGTTGATACCAATATAAAAACAGCATGCCCTATTATTGTAACTGTTTTTGATTTATTAAGACTGGGTCTTAATAAATTTTTAATTTAAAAATTAAAAATTAAAAAATATTTGAGGACCGGTCTGTCCTCAAATTTGCATGCCTTCTGCCTAAACCTATGGGATTACAGGCAGGAACCACCATGCCCAAATTCTATCCTCTTTTTCATGTAATTGTTGGGAAATGCCTTGTGGATGACCTTGGCTGGATTTGTAGTGAGTGCCTTTACTAATCATGTTAGTGCTGCACCTTCAGCCACTCCACCTGCCCTATTTTTGTGGAGGGTTTTTCAAGACAGGGTCTCACGAACTATTTGCCCAGGCTGACTTTGAACCACAATCCCTGGATCTCTGTCTCCTGAGTAGGTAGGATTACAGGTGTATGAATACCATTTGAGACTTCTCAAAAAATTAAATTATAAATGTGAAGTATGTTCTTAAAAATGTTATTGCAAAGTATGTTTTTAAAAATAAATTTACTATTGGGCACTGGTACTCATACCTGTAATTCTCACTACTTGGGAGTCTGAGATCAGGAGGTTCACAGATCAAGGCCAGCTTGGACAAATAATGTATGAAAACCTATCTCCAAGATAACCAGAGAGAGCAAAATGGACTAAAGTGTGGCTCAAGTGGTAGTGCATCTCTTTTGCAATCACAAAGCACCAAGTTCAAATTCCAGTCCTGTGATTTAAAAAAAAAAAGTTACCCCAGTCCTGTAATTTAAAAAAAATCAAATACATTTACTGGCTGGGTGCAGTGGCTTAGGTCTATACTCCTAGCTACTTGGAAGGTAGAGATCAGGAGGATTGTGTTAAGAGGCCAGTCTGTGCACAAAGTCCGTTAACTCAACAATTTCGACCAATAAACGGAGCATGGTGATGCATACCTGCGATCCCCAGCTCCATGGGAGGAGGACAGTGGCTGGGGTTGGCTGGGAAAAACCTGACATACTTTCTAACAAAACAACTAAAACAAAAAGGAGGCATGGATCAAGTGTAGAATATCTGCACAGCAAGCGAGACCGTTTTCAACCTCCAGTACCATACAGGTAAGTTTAGTTTTGTCACATGATGAAAGAATGTTACCCTCACCAGTAACTTCAAGGATAAGTATGTGCAATAATAAACACATCACTAGGGTTAGGGACATAGTGCAAGTGGTAGAGTGCTTGTCTAGAAAATATGAGGCCCTGAGTTCAATCCCCAGTACCACAAAAATATTAATATTTGTTGAGCCAATCTTTCATGAATGTTTCCATTCATGAAACATCAAACTAAGGGGATTCACATTAACATTCAGTACATCACTGGCAATTTCTATTTTTTACAGATTCTAGAAGACTTACTAATGAACTTTACCAAGTCATAAAAATGATGACTTGTGAAAGAAAAAACATCATTTGGAAATTCCAATGGTTAGAAAATGATACAAAGATGACTTTCATGTATTAGTAAGAAATCATGTTGTGTAAAAATGAACCCAATTACTAACTATACTAGCAGTGTCTCCATGCAATTTGATTATAAATAGACATACCTTGCACTTGGATGACTCAACTTTTAAAAAAATCTATTCTCTCCTAATTAATATATTAAAATTTGGTGCAAATGATATTAAAACTTTATATTTCCAACTTGCAAAATAACTGTAAGCATCAACTGTGAGGAAAAAAAATGCAAGTATTCTGAAAAGGAAGAGAAATGAGATAGAACTCAATGGAATAGGTAAGACAGTATAAATCATCAGTAATTAAAAGTGTGAATAGAAAATAAAGCAAACAAATTAAGAGAAATGCAGCCAATATATGTTTCTATGATTATGCTAAACAATATATAGTTTTCTATGATTATGCTATCTGAAGTAGTAAAAGTTCAAGTCAAAGTGAATAATTTGAATGTTGCCTTACCACCACAGTAAGTAATAACTGATGGAAAAAGAAATGGGAGTGACAAAAATAAGTAATGTAAAAAGTGAAAAAACACAAATATGATACCAATGTAAACATGTTTGTAAAAGAAAAACACAAAACTCAAGTGATAAAAGAGAACATGACTATATTTCAATACGTAATTTATGTATAACCAAAAAATAAACCACCACAGTATAAAGAAAACACATTATTTCATTTGCAATGCATGACAAAATGTTTACATACTTAATCACAAATGACCAGAGACTTATTACAAAGGAAGTGAAAAAACAGAGAATAAAATACTACAGATGAGAATATGAAGATGATGTACCTTAATAACAGAAATAATATATAATTAATGATTAAGAATATACTATTACCTATACAGTTTTGTAAATGAAGATAGCTGAGATTCAAGCATTATAAGAACTTAATCCAATTAGGAGAAAACTTACTCAATTACAGATTTTTGTGTATACTTTGCTGTGGCAATTCTAATCCAAAGAAACAATTCCAAATTAAAAATATAAGTTTATACATAAGCATGTGTACTACAGATTCTACAGCTAAAGCATCAAATACATCAGTGTCAATTTGTGTGAAAAATATCCTAAGTATGATCAGAAAACTCCATAAATCACTAACAACACTGTAGATTAATATTTAAAAAGGCACTTAAAATTATTAATATTCCTTCAAAAATGTCAGTCCTACCTGTAAATGGTGACTTACAACTGTAACACCAACCCTCAGGAGGCTGAAGCAGGAAGATCACGAGTTTAAGACCAGACTGGGCTATACAGTCTAACTATATACTGACTAAAGCAACAAAAAATATCTGTCCTTTTGAGTCATTTAAAAGTTTATTTTTAAAATCAGTTTCAAGTTTAATCTGTGATAAATGACAATTACAAATATGTGCACTTCATACTTATGCAGGCAGTGATGAATCCATACTGAAGTTCTCTTGTAGTAATGTCTCCGTCATTCCAATTCCTGAGAGTTAGTCCATTAACAACAATGAAAACAAGTATCCTTAATAGCATTATTACTAATAGTAATTTAGGTCTCTTTCCAGAAATGAGCTTTCTGTATCAGGTTCTCTAAATAGATAATCATATTTTAGTTTTGATGAAGCAGGTGGTAGAAACAATGGTGTAAAGTCCTCAGAAATTACCTGGGGAGACACAATACGGAAAAAAATGGGAAAAGTTTTTAATGTAAGCAATGGCTAAGAAATGCAACATTCTCTCTATTATGAAAAAATGCTTTTGGAAATTTTCTAATAATAAAGGTGCCAAGAATTATTTCATTACTAATTACTATTGACTGATTCCAACATTATATCTGTGTATTCAGTTGTTTATATCTCTACACACAGAATTATATACTACATGTATTTATATTCTACACACAATTATTATATGAAGTTTACATACATTTCTGCAAAAAAAAATCATTATTTCAGACTGGGAATTCAAATAAAAATAACTTGAGGGGTGTATCCCACTTGATAAGAAATAATAACTACATTAAAATTAGAGGCTATGATGAATCTCTGAAGATGATATAACCACTAACCCATGCTAGAGAACGTAAGAAATCATGACCCTCAGATAAAAAGACAGTGTTTAGGGTAATTTGTTGCATAACAACTGTTATCTGTTGGACAGATATCAACATCAACTGTTGGGTTGACACAATAGCTGAAACAACAGCTGGGTATGGTAGAAGGCACAAGTCATCCCATGAAGCAAAAATAGGATCAGTTTAGGCCAGCCTTCACAAACGTACAAGACCCTATAACTAAAGCAAAAAGGGTTGGGGGTATGACTCAAGTGATAGGGCACCTTTCTAGCAAAGAAAAATGCTCAAATATCTATGGTTGCCACCCAAAAGTCACCAATCTGAAGAAAAACAGGAATATCAATAGACTACTATTTACCCAAAGTACTACTGTAATCAAATAGGCACACAATGGCCCTTGCAAGCATATGACTAAGTGAGTATTCCAGGGTAAGATGGGAGTGAAGAAAATACTCCAAAAGGTCGTCCACTGATAGCAGGTAACATTCTTTGTTTTACTCCCAACAAGCAAAAAAAAACATTATAAGGCAAAATACATACCAGTCCAATGAAACAGCTAAGGTATCAGGTAAGTGGATATCCACGTTGAAAATTTTTATAGAAATTTCTGTTAAGTCATAAACAATTCTTCATTAATCAATCTTACTGCTAAGCCAACTTCAAGCCTAAACCATACTAATTTTCAGTAATCACAAACTTTGTAGTTTCCAGGAAATTGTCTTTTTGAACATTACAATATTGTAATTGGGAATTCAAACATTGTCATCTTCATAATAACAAATAATTACACATTTGACCATTCATTTTATTGATTTAAAAGGATCATTGGGCTTGAGGCATGGCTCAAGTGGCAGAGTGCCTACCTAGCAAGCACAAAGCCCTAAGTCCAAACACTAGTACACCAAAAATAAATAAATGATTATGCCATCTATATACTTTTATCTTAGTAAAATTAAAATATCTTTCAAAAGACTAATTCAGGGCTTCAAAGTAGCTTAGTTGTAGAACACTTGCCTAGCAGATATATGCAAGGCCTTGTGTTCTATTACCAGCACTTAAAAAAAAAACAAAAACCAAAAACCTTTCCCTAAAAAGTGAGCATGACACAATTTCCAAGTGTAAAAATGTGTTTGAACCAATGTTAATTTTCTGGCTGCCAGATGAAAACAATGCCAAAAACTTCTTACCTATAAATTAAGGAACTCCAAAGGAAGGAAGGATACTCCAGATTATTTCACAGATTACACTCAAATTACCTCAAGTAGGTCGATCATTGTGAACAACCTGAAAATACGGTATCAATATAGTAAGGGTTGGATACAAATGAAACATCAGAATGTACAAATTAAGAAACAGGCTATAAAAGCATAGTAAATTGATAAAATTAAATTAAACCAGCTGTTGACTTCTCACACAGCTTCAACATTTCAATGTTTTTTCTCTTTGAAAAAAAATTAGTGTTGTTGAGGATGGAAACTAGGATTTCATGCATGTAGGCAAGTGCATTATGAATGAGCTACTTCCATTTACCATACATGATTTTTAACCATACCTTTAGCACACATGCTGAAAATTTATTCAATGTTTTTCCCTGCTAATTTTGTCTATAAAAACCTACTTGATATCTTTGCAGCAGAATCAACCACATAAATATAAGCAAACTACTGCTCTATTTACATCAAAATTAATCAAGGGGGCTGGGAATGTGTATCAGTATGTGTTCATTATGTGTGAGGTTCTGAGTTCAATCCCCAGCACAAAAAAACACATACATATTAAAGGCAACTTCCAACTTATCCCAAATGAGATATCACGAACATCATAATCTAGTTAAAATCCACAGGTTACGTCCATGTACTCTTTATAGAAATCCTCAGGTACTGTTTTTTAAACTCGTGTTTGTTAACCAAAATAAATTCATTTGGTACCTACCAGAAATTCCTTCTTCCTTCTTTCATTGGGTAATCCAATACTATATTTCACTGTAAGATTCTGCTGCACTAGTGTCTAAGTTGCATGCTCTTCACGAAATCATTCAAAAATCATTTATATGGGCTGCTAGGAATACAAAGTTGGAAAAGACAACCAGATGCTCCCTTGATGTTGATAGGCAAGGATGCAAACAGGCACAAGCTATCTCTTTAACATTTCCTTGTTGTTTAAATGCTTATTTGTAAATACCAGTATGAAAATTCAAACAGACAGGAACAGTCTTTCTATCAAATCTCTAATCTGTAAGTATCAAAACTTTAATATATTCTTCCAGATAATTCTCTATTCACATAAATCATTCATTCATACTAGATTTTGTCATGTAGTGATTGATAAACAGGTATACATCTCTTGATTTCTATCAAAGAGAACTATAAAATAATCAACATTTTAACAATGATAAATATTCCTTAACTATGAAATTGTTGTACCCTATGTATAATTAACATTCTTATTATAATTAGCTGTTACCTTTTCAGTTAGAAAAACAAGAGGCATATGTACCCATATATAAACAAGCAGTTAATGTTTCTTCAATTTAAACTTCATAAAACCAACTTACATACTGCAATTTCAGAGTTAAAATTATATGTTAATTATCATAATCCTTATAAATCTTTCACTGACAGATATATTTCAGGTTAATTTTCTCAGGTCTCTAAATTCCATATACATTTTCTCATTAGTAAATCTTACAATAAAGAACTGTAATAGGTAAAACTCAGTAAGCAACATAAGAACTTAAAAACTTTACATATTCTTATAATTGAATTACCTTTAGAAAATTACTGTGTCATATTCTGATTTATACTTTGATCAATACAGTATAGGATCTTTCAAGAAAATTTCCTACCTTGAATTATAGAAAACACTTGACAACTGTCTCTAATTATTCCACACCAAATACTATGTAAATTTCAGAATAAAATTTTAAAAATCTATCAGAAAAATAGTCCTAACAGTTTTGTTCTCATACAAATGTATAAATATGGAAATAGATTTGGAAAACAATGCTTCAGATTTACCATAAAATTATGATTTAGGTATAGCACTAAGATATTTTTGCTATATCTGAAAGTCAGAAATAAAATACTAATTCTATAACTTATAACATAAAAATATAAAACACTAAACAGAAGTGAAAATAGGGTTAAATATTCTTGAAGGAGCATTATCTCATATATACCACAACATTCTAGATGTTTATGTAAATATATGAATGATTTTAGAATGAACACAGCATAGTAAAATAAAAATGTACTTGTAAAAATTTCCTAATCCTAATATGTCACATTTAAAATGACAATTTTTCATATATCTTTTTTTTTCTCCCTAAAGACAAATACATCCCATGGTTTTTGTTTCTTAAGGTACACAATGCACACAAACAATGATGGTTATTATTGTGAGAGAAACAAAATCAGTACTGGAGGTATAGTTCAAGCTGTAGAATGCCTGCTTTGCAAGCAAGAAGCCCTGAGTTAAAACCCAAGAACCATAAAAAAAAAATGAGCTGGAAACACAATCAGAATCTAGAAGTGATCTAAACAGATCTCACCCAAAACCCAGAAACACTAAATGTAACAGACAAATGTGTTGAAAAAGCATTTGCAGGAGTAATTTCAATTATGATATTTTACAGTAAAATATTTACAAATTTACTTTAAAACTGTGTATTTGAAAAAAAAACTATTCTTTAAATGACATAGGTATCTGTTATTTACAATCTTGTCTTGAATGTTGTCATGCAGTCCAAGTAAACATAATACTGTATTAATTCAAAGAGGTAGAAGAACTTTTCCTTATAAAAGCCATCTCCTATAATGATTAGAAAACTATATTTATATAATGCCCTATGATCAAAGTTTTAAATGTACATACATATAAGCACTAAGCTATGGTTAAAATATAATCCTTTTCCTCAGATGAGAATTCAAAGTTAAACATGAAAACCCTTTTAAATCTTTCCTTTCCCTAACAAATACTCAGATAAAATGCATAAAGCTGAAGAAATCCACAACTTTATGTATTTTGTTTGCAAAACCTTTGCAAAAACAATGAAGCCATGAAATTTTACGAAGACTTATTTACAAAATTATACTTTTTGAGACTCTATACATCCAGAAAGACTAGATGTTAAATCAAATTTTTGTATTTAAGTATTATTTACAAAGTTGTCTTGAATATTGTCATGCAACCAAGGGAACACATACAGCACTTTGTATAGTTCCAAGAGGTAGTACAAAATTTCCTTAATCATTTATAACTTGAAAATTAAGGGCAATGAAAAGAAAATGTTTAGTTCAGAACATTCCGAAGCACAAAAGACCAAATGAATTTACCTGTCATTTCATTCAATTTGATTTCATTAATTGTTTTTAATATGCAATTCATAAGGATAAAATGACACTATTTTGTGGGAATGGGATAAGTTTCTCACAAATTAATTTGATAAATTTTTCATAGCTCTATGAGCCTACTTTTAATCAATGCGACTGCCACCTTAATTGCAAAAGACAACAGTATTAAAAAATTAACATTATATTTACAAGATTATACTTTGTGAGACTCCCAAAACACCTAGAATTACTAGATGTTTAAAATTTTAAAAATTTCAATTATTTACAAGGTTACATTCGTTTTGCCATGCAACAAATTAAAACACAACCAGGTAATTTATAGCCTTCTATGAAACGTTAAAAATTACATCATGAACCTCCATATCAAGGAACATAAAATATAACTACATTTCTCATATGTAGACACAAAATGGGTACAATTTCATGATTATAATCTAACTTTACTTCTAACTAAAACTTTGACAGAAACCCTACTATCATTCTAACCTGATAGCATGTATATAAACAAACATAGGTTCAAAGACATTTGTTAATATAATGTGCAACTTGTCTTGTCTTCAACAATACACACCAATATAATGGAGCTTAAAAATTGTGGTAATATTCTAACAAAAGAAAAACTTCTGCTGTCTAACCTTGTTTGTCAACAATCCATATACAAATGTGAAATGTTATAGTACAAATGATATAAAAACAAGTTTTTAATAAACACCAGAGTTCATCCCACCTCAAAATGCATATATAATAGCTCCTATACTTTAAAAATAATGTTATCTACATAAAAATAACCAGTGACTACCCCATGATCTCAGATTTGATAGACCACTGGTAGCATGCTCTAAATATACAAGCAACAATAATCCACTATTATTTGATGTAAAAGTCTATTGACAGAAATTCTGTCAAACCAATGTTATTGAAGATTTTTATATTTATGTAAAATCATATATGAAAACCAAGAGAAATCTGAACAAAATTTTTCATTAACATTTCCATATTATTCCATCAGGCAAGAGTCTCATTGACACACTGTTTATCTAGAGAGATCTATCTATAGGTATGTAGTATTATACTACATGTGTCACAAGAAAATTTTCCTATTTACGTACATTTTAAAGACTAAGCTTGATGATACAATGAACAGAGAATCAAAATGTAACATTTCTGTTGCATCTTAATTTTATACATACTTACAATTCTCTGTATATATACCAAACCTAGATATTAAAACATTCAACTTCTTGACATTTTAAACAAAATTTGATATTCACCAGTCATACATTAATATTGCAAGGTAATCTGATGAATTAAGATTGAATGGCAACCTTACTATCCCAATGATGGTCACAGTCTACTTTAACAATAGAGTAGCCGTGTTCTCTAGTACCCTTACATGGAGTAAACCCCCTCCACACAAGTGTCTCCTAAATACAGAGCAGTTTAGAAATTCCTCTGAGCCATCAACTAATCCATATGTTAGCATTTTATCACCCATCAAATGTGAAATATCATCCATCTATTCTTCTGTGCATTACATACAGAGCAGTATAAAATCATGACGAATGCTGAATGTTATTGTTCATAGAGAATGGTGTCTTCTATAATTTCATCATGAAAAGAAACTCTTATTATGTGGAAATAACATGAAGACCTTTGACCCAAGATATACCTCCATGACTTCCATAACAGGTAGTCTTAATGAAATATGAAGGTCAGCGAAGTATCAATTTCTATCTTGTTTGAGCTTTTGTAGCTGGTAAGGCAAATGTTTTCCTTCCCTTTCTATCCACATAATTCTGCAGTTGGCACAATTATTCCAAGTCTTATATATTTGAAACAACTTTCAATACAGTAGATAGCCTTAACATACTTTCCAAGCTGCATTTCAAGTGACATTGGGAATTTCCCTAATGCTATATGAGCAGGCAAACAAACAGAAGTTGTAGGCAGCAATTGGAGGGGTGGCAGTCAGAAACACTTTCAGCAGCAGCTCTATATCCAGTATGTATACTTGTACAGAAGTAGAGACATAAACATGCTCTGAAAGCTCCAAAATACTTTGTGAGGCAGTCATTCAGGACGCAGCTCTATGATTAACTGTAAAAAGCTTTACAAATCTAATTAAGCCATCCTGGATTATAACAAGTGCTTCCTCCTGTACATATTTGTAGAGATTCTTAAGGACTAGAGGATGAGACTGAATGGATGCAACAAAACAAAAGAATCTGAATATCCAGTCTCCTGAAGTAGGAGGCTTCATTTTTCTTCATGCAGAAGATGCTCTAAGTAGTATCAGTTTACCTAATTTTGTCCACTCCTTTCTTTTGAACAACCTATTGCGGATTTATGAAGAATACTTGACGAACTTTGATGTCTTCTCATAAACTGATCTGCCACAGCAATGAAAGAATCTGAAGCTAAAAGCAAGAGAAACAGCTGACCTAGGCACCAGTGGCTCATGCCTGTACTCCTAGCTACGTTGGAGGCTGAGAAAGGCAGGATGGCAGTTCAAGGCAAGCATGCAAATAGTTCTCAAACCCTATCTTCGAAATAATCAGGGCATGATGAACTGGAAGAGTGCCTCAAACAGCAGAGTACCTGCTTTGCAAGTACAAAGCCCCAAATCAAAACCAAGTCCCACTAAAAACAAAAGATCAGTTGAAAGTTAGAGAACACTGAGTGTTCACTGAGTGTGAAGACGGTCTGTCATATATTAAGTTTCTAAAAGAAATAGTCATCCATCCTTTTTATGCTCCATTGTAGTCCAAAAGCAGGAGCTACTTTCTTACTTTCTGATTGGCATCATCTTCATACGTTTTCAGAACCGACAGTGAACTATAACAGTCATTTTAAAAAGATGCTTATGGATGTAAATGAATACAAGATATGTCATGTATTATTTTCTAGATACTTGATACAGATACAGTTGAATTATCTGTTCATTCTTCTTTAAATTTTCTTACACTAAATATGATGAACTCTATGCTAATTAGCAACAAATAACCAATATATTTTCAAGCCCAAAGAATGACAGATTCTCTATTTTTCTATATGCCCAATTTCTCTCTGACCTACTAACAAACTCTGTTATACCCTATTCAACAGTAATTACCTCTTGTTTCTAAGATTTTTGCAAACAAAAAGTTCAAACAAACGTATTTTAACTTAAAAGACATTTTCTCCAGTGAGCTAGCCTGAAGCACATGGGGGCATCCAATAAAAAACAACAGTAAGTGATCGTTTCTTTTTCCACCAAACACCCTACTAGAAATTTGACAGCAAACTTTGGGTTCATTTCTAATTGATGAAATAGACAACTTAAGTTAAAAGCCATACAATTTCCCACAATTTTGTGTTCCCAGCAATGTGGTAAACAAAATGCTTATGTTGTATTCAAAACCTAAAAGACTGGTGAAAATCAAGTGTGATTCTGAAGGGCAATACTGGCCTCTACTTCACTCAAGAGAAATTCCCTGAACCTCAAGACTTCATATGTGAACTCCATCAATTGATTTAAAAAATCCACA